GATCATACAGGAAGTGGGCTGATCATACAGGAAGTGGGCTGATCATAGAACAGATCTCTAATGGTCTGGGTTCTCCTCAGGGGAACTGTTGGCCCAACATGGATCCTGAGTCACCAAGGTGAGAAACTCATCCAGAAGGGGCAGCTGAATCTCTGCGTCCTTCAGCACAGAGCCGATTAATAGATTAGCTTAGCTAGAAACGATCAGAACCAACCTGGGTGTGGCTCTGTGGTTCTGGGCTTTAATCCTGGTCCATTTGGGACTGGCTCGGTTCTGCCTGACAGGATTTGCTGTAAAGAAAGAAGGATGATTGGACCTGACCAGAACCTCTGATCTTAGGAGCGTTGAAGTTCTAATGTGGTCCAGTTATTCTGCCTTAATGACAGATAACGGAACCGTGATCTGACTCTGATACTGAGGAAGGAGTCAGTTCTGACCCAAACTCTGCCTCCTCAGACCAGGGTGTGTGCGGTCCCTCTCAGCCCGGCTGCTCGTCGTCTCCCTGCCCACCGGCCTGTGGAGGAGGCGCCGCCGCCTGCGACACCAGAACTAACAACTGCTGTGAGTTTTCAGAACCTGTAGACCTGATCTACCAGCTCTAGCTCTGCGCTGCTGAATGTCCCCCCCTGCTGGCCGGCCCCCTCTTTGTCCTGACTCTGCTCTCTGGCCTGCAGCGCGCTGTGAGCCCATCACCCTGGAGCTGTGCATGAACCTGCCCTACAACCTGACCAGCTACCCCAACTACCTGGGCCACCTGTCCCAGAGGGAGAGCTCCGTGTCCTGGGAGTCCTCGCTGTTCCCGGCACTGGTCCAGACCGGCTGCTACCAGTACCTCATGTTCTACGCCTGCACGCTGCTGGTTCCAAAGTGCGACCCGCTCAGCCTGCAGAGGGTGCCGCCCTGCAGGTCGCTGTGCCGCAGCGCCAAGGAGAAGTGTGAGTCGGTGCTCGGCATCGTTGGGCTGCAGTGGCCCGAAGACTCGGACTGCAGCCAGTTCCCAGAGGAAGGAAACTCCACCTGCCTGATGCCAGAGGACGGAGTGGACGGTACGCCGCCTCTGTTCTGTTGTCATGGTGATGCTTTGACCCTGGGTCCTGATGCCTACCTATTTCCTTGGTGACAGAGTGCTCCCCTAGCCACTTCAAGTGCCGGTCTGGTCGCTGTGTCCTGGCCACCAAGCGCTGCGACGGACACCTGGACTGTGACGACCACAGCGACGAAGACCACTGTGGTGGGTCCAGATGTCCTCCTTGTCTCTGACCCTCTGACCTTTGTAAATCTCTGACCCCTACTGACCTCTGTTCTCTCTGACCTCTGTGACCCTATGACCTGTGTGACTCCCCTGTTCTCTCTGACCTCTGTGACCCTATAAACTCTGTGACTCCCCTGTTCTCTCTGACCTCTGTGACTCCCCTGTTCTCTCTGACCTCTGTGACTCCCCTGTTCTCTCTGACCTCTGTGACTCCCCTGTTCTCTCTGACCTCTGACCTCTGTGACTCCCCTGTTCTCTCTGACCTCTGTGACCCCTGACCTCTGTGACTCCCCTGTTCTCTCTGTGGCAGGCTGCTCTGAGCGCGCTCTGTGGGAGTGTCCCGGCAGCACAGTCTGCATCAAACCCTCGATGATCTGCGACGGGTTCCCAGACTGCCCCCTGCAGGTGGACGAGGCTAACTGCTGTGAGTCTCCTTTATACTCGCTGTGACGCTGCAGCCGGGTTATCAATGTTGTTGCAGCTCTGATCCCGGTTCTGATCATCCTTCTGCAGCCGCCTGCAGGGACAACGAGCTGGCCTGCAGCAACCACCAGTGTGTCCATCGGACGCTGTGGTGTGACGGGAAGAAGCACTGCTCAGATAGCTCCGATGAGTGGAACTGTGGTACACCCCCACCCTACCTCCAGCTCTGTGTTTAAAACGCTTCCTCAGTGTCTGACCGCTTCTCTGTTGATCCCCACAGTCTCTCTGTCCGATCGGTCCGGCTCGGTTCTGACCGTGTTCAAGACGGCAGCAGAGTACCAGGTCTGTGCAGACGAGTGGAACCCCACCCTGAGCAAGCTGACCTGCAACCAGCTGGGACTAGGGTAAGGTTAGTAACAGCCAGAGCACAGGTTCCCCAACAGGAACCAGAGACGTTTCCTTCATACCGACTCCACCTGAAAGCATGGCAGAATGACTGTCATGAGCTTCTCCTCAGGGTTCCCTCCTCTGTTTCCATGGTACCTGACCAGCCTGGAGTCCCCGGCCGTCGCCGTTGGTTGCACGTCCATCCAGAGTGGAATCTGAGGAACGGTTCTGCCCTGCAGGCTCGACTGGAGAAGAGAAGGTACCGATTAGAAAGACTCTCAGCGCAGTGTCAGTGGAAAGGATGATTCAAGATTTGGATAAAACCATCAGAAGGAGGTCTGGTTACCTTTAAATATGACACAGGGTGAAAACAATAACTAGAAAACATAATTTAATTGTATTTTAAAATCCGCCAGTGGAATTAGTATATCTGCTCCTAATATAGACCAATATAGACGTGTTATACATCCTTGGAAAGCTTAGATTCTCCACAATTCACCTGCCAAGTTCAATGTATGGACACCATGAGCATCAAAGCACAATCAATGAAAATATAGCAGCATGGTCAATTAGAATTTTTGAAATAAAGCTTTGACTTCTTACCTTTGAAACCATCCTGAGACCGTATCATCAATCCAATCCTAGACTGTTTTGTTGTTTGGTTAATTGATTTATTTCATCCATGAAAACAAAACAATTCTCTAAGAAACTGTTTTCCAGAATATTACCCATTTATATAAGAGATCAAAAATATTGGGGGTTAGTCCGGGATCGATGTATATGAATCTGTTTCTATGTAGAAAATGGTGTTTTTTTTTTTTTTTGCTGTAAGAACAAGAAGAACAAACCTTAATGGAAGCAGATTTGTTTCTTTTTTAACTAGAACTCCACTGTCGGGGTTACAGTTCTATAGAAACAGGGTCTCTGATTTTCCTGCTTCTACATAACAGATTGTATCAACAATCAAGTAAACAACAACAACAACAAACAAGTAAAAATCTGTCAGAGCTCAGATTTTTTTCTCTCTAATGATCTCCTTCTGTCTCTGTCCTCCAGTCACGCCTGTCATTCCAGACAAAGAGTTTCGGTCCAGTGCTCCAGAGAAGGTGAACATCTTCGCCCCACTTCTCTAACTCGTATCTCTTTGGTTCCTTTTTGTTCTGACGTTTAAACTTCTGTCTTCCTCAGAGTGCGGTTTGCGTCCAGCACTGGGTCTCCATCCTCACAGGAGGAAACGGATCCTGGGGGGCCGGGTGTCCCGGCGGGGGGCGTGGCCCTGGCAGTGCTCGCTGCAGAGCGGTCAGAGCGGACACGTCTGCGGCTGCGTGCTAATCGGCCGTCGGTGGGCTCTGACTGTGGCCCACTGCTTCGAGGGGTGAGATTTCTGTT